CACTAACAGAAATCATAAAAACACTGACAAACATCATAAAAACACAGACAGAAATCATAAAAACACTAACAGAAATCATAAAAACACTAACAGAAATCATAAAAACACAGACAGAAATCATAAAAACACTAACAGAAATCATAAAAACACTAACAGAAATCATAAAAACACAAACAGAAATCATAAAAACACTAACAGAAATCATAAAAACACAGACAGACATCATAAAAACAGTAAGTTGATCTTGTTCGTGATCAGTGTGGAAACATTCAGGAGGACAAAGATTTTCTTCTCCTCATCAACATCATGCAGCAGTTTGAAAAATAAATCATCAGAAACTCCTCAGGAGCAACACTGTGGTTCTTCTCAATACTAATGAATCTGTTGCTTCTCTCACATCATCATCATCATCATCATCATCATCATCATCATCATCATCTTCACTTTACTGTCAGCAGCTACAGTAATAAGACTGACAGAAACAGGAGAGATCATGAGATAAAATAGGACTTACAGGTACCAGGTGTGTTTCTGGATCTGCTCTAACTGCAACAAGAGTCAGAGGAGAGAAAAAATAAGGACTTTTATTTTGAAATGAAACACAGACTCCATCAGCAGCAGAACCAACAGCGAGGAGGAGCTCTCCAGTTCTGAAGGAGCCGGTTCTGTTTCAGACTGACCGTCAGCCTCTTGCCAGCGTCCACTTCGATCATTCCTCGCAGAAGGTTCTGACAGTCTGGAGGGATGAAGTGAGGCATGTGGAAAACTCCCAGCTTCACCTTCTCCAACAGGTTCCTCAGGTTGTCGTCATCAAATGGCAGCGCGCCCTGAAAAACAACCGGGGGGGGTCACAGGTGGGACCTTTAGTCAGGTTCTTAGTTATCCAGCCATCTTCCACTGCAGATTAGAATATACAGATTAAAATATACAGATTAGAATATACAGATTAGAATTTACATATTAGAATATACAGATTAGGCTATACAGATTAGAATATACAGATTAAAATTTACATATTAGAATATACAGATTAGGCTATACAGATTAGAATATACAGATTAAATTATACAGATTAGAATATACAGATTAGGCTATACAGATTAGAATATACAGATTATATTATACAGATT